ATATATATATATATATATATATATATATATATATATATATATATATATATATATATATATATATATATATATATATATATATGTATTCTATCGAATGTTTGGCGCTAATATCTTTGTAGTTCGTTTTTTTTGATATTTCACACTAAAGTTTTTTTTTTTGAGAAAAATCGAAAAAACAAAATACAAACATATTAACGCCAAACATTCGGTAAAAATTATGGTATATATATATATATATATATATATATATATATTAGGAAAGTTCACTGGGGTCATTCTACTCAATAAATAATGTACATAACTTAACATCAGTCCAACTAGGAGACACTTTAGTCCTGATATCTGTCACACTAAAGGACACTTGGATTAGTCCTATATAAAAAATTAAGTTTTTCAAATCATATTACGTCTATAAGAGAAATACGACATATTAGACAGTTTCTTTCTACCGCTTTGGCTAGTGATCTGGCACGGTGTTTGATGCTGTCCAAATTGGACTGCTGCAATTCTTTGTTATATGGAATATCTAAAAGTCGAGAGTTCCGTCTCTAGAGAATAATGAATAGAGCCGCTAGAGTAGTACTCAATTCAGGTACACCGTTACATCGTCTGTCATCAACTACCTCGTCAAATCTAATGAACCTCCATTGGCTTCCATTTCACTTTCGAGTTTTATTTAAAATAGCTGTCATCGTCTTCAAACTTTCAATCTCGCATTCACCGTCGTATCTCTGCGATCTTCTACATAGTAATACAAACAATCGTCAAATTCGCTCTGCCATCGCTCTACGTTTTCATCAGCATAAAACAACAAACAATATTGCTGGCCGTGCATTCTGACATGCTGCTCCTCACGTTTGGAATTCGCTTCCACCAAAGATTAGAAACTGCAGCTCTACACAGCCATTCAAGCCGTCCTTAAAAACTTTTTATTTTGATAAAGCGTTTTCAAACGTCTGGCAAAGGATGTTTTTTGTTTTGAGGGCGCCTCAGTCGCTTGCCAGGACGTCAGCATTAAGTCAGCATTATCATTATCATCATTATCACATTTGAATGGGGAAAAAAAATTTTTCTCTAATTCGAGTGCACACCTTCTGAAAAGTTTCCACTGAAGAGTCCTAAAAACTTACAAACCAAAAATAAGACAAATCAAATTAAATTTATATAAAAAATTAAAATTATATAAAAATGTGATAATTCATTATTTTGAAACCAAATACAAATATAACTGGAAAGTATCAAAAGTTGGTAACTTACTTAATTCAAAACATTGATATTAGATATTTTAAAATGCACTATTATCATAAAATATTCTATGGTCACCATATTTGTTGTCAGCAAACAGTAAAATAGGATAAATACACTCATTACTACGGATGATGTGGTCTTACATAGTACCATCTTTGAAATGTTTTCTTTAAGCTGACAGCTCATACATCCCACCAGAGGATTACAAGGAGTTGGTTGAACTCTGTCTCTTAGTGCTGGCTTATCCAATGCAGACTGATGGCAAGTACCATTTCCGTGTTCCTAGAGCATATCACATGGTCAGATGGATGACCAAAGTTATCTACTGTCTCAAAAAGTGTATGTTCCGCAATGAATTAAGCTAACAGCAGCCGAAACTGAATTCTGCCTATTTGCAACCCATATATATGTACCAGCATGAAAGTTGTGCCCAATACCCAGTGATGCACCAGTCAAGGACCTGCAACTTTTGAGCAGAATTGAACAATATTCTGAAATCAACAAAAATGTAGCAAGTGCTGGCACAAAAAAGTTTAAGAATCATCTGTGGTATCTCGGTACAGAAATGGTTTGGCTGTCATTGTTCTCAAATAAGGTTGCAAATGCTAAGGAGCAGTTGACAATGGAAGCAATGACTGCAGTAGATTCTGACTGCAGTGTGCAAGGTGTTAAATATTAGCTTAGGCAGCTGCTGCTATGTTGTAAGTCTGACATACTATGAGTGATCAACAGAAAAACATAAACTGACTATTGATTGCCTCAAGTTGATTTCAGTTTCTCAATCAAAAATTAACAGTACTGAACTTTCGTTTGGCATAATCAAGTTGCCTTTATTTTGCAAGAACTGTTCGTTTAGTGTTGATTATTTTGTTAGTTTGATTATAAATTTGTTAAACTGTTGAATCTTAAATGATTTTCACAAGATTGTTGTTCATTTTACTGCAAGATAAACATTAAACACAAAATTGTAGCATCGACCAATATTCGCTATTATGCTAAATATAGTGAAAAACTGAATGTCATTGAGCAACCTCTTCTAAATATTGTCAGAATTTATTGAAATTTTGCACACATGCTAATTTTCAGCTAAGAAAAAAATATAAGGGGTGTGCACTTGAATTTAAAAAAAATTTTGCTGTGCCGGAGAGTTATGGTTTTAAGTTACGACTTGAGTTTGATTTTTAAATGATTTTTCTAGTCTTTGAATCTGTAATATATCTGTATTGAATCTGAATTGAATCTGTAATTTTTCAATATAATATATAATTTGATATAAATATATTATATAGTAAATAGTTAATATAACTATTGTACAACAGTATAACCTTATAACTTATAACATCTCCATGTCCAGCAAAATATATTAAAACAACATGAAAATTTCTTATATAGTTATTATTCTTTCATTCAAAACACAATATAGATTATACATTATAAAATTTAAATGCGAGGCGGATGGAAGATTTCTTTGCAACATTTGATATGATCAGGTTTGTGCATGGTCCAAGTCACGACAAAAATGGAACATTAGATTTTGTGGCTGCTACATCGAGTTACGAGATTACTGATGTCACCGTGGGAACACCAGGAGAATTTTCGGACCATGCCCTTATAACGTGTTTGTTGCCCATGCAAAAGGTTAAACCAAAAATGGTAACTAAACTCGTACGATGTTGGAAGAAGTATGACGAAGTGGCATTTCGAGGTTCTTTGATGTCAACATTACTGGCTGTACGACCATCTGATGATGCTTGCGCTGGGGATCTGATGAATTGCTATGTGACGGAGTTACGACGGTTGGCAGATGAATATGCACCAATTAAGAAGGTTAACTGTAAATTTTGTCCAGTTACCCCTTGGTTTGATGACGAGTGCATTCGGTCTAGACGATGGTGTAGGAAGCTGGAAAAGAAATATCGCAAAACAAAGAATGATGATGATCAGAAAAATTAGTATGATGCCCTGAAGGACAGGAAAGTGTTGCTGATAGACAAGAAAAATAGTTATTGGCGAAATCAGATAGCATCTTGCAAAAAAAATCCTTCTCAACTTTGGCGTCATGTGAACAAGATGATGCATAAAAATGTAAAGATGTCAGAGTCAAAAAAGACAGAACTTTCATCTGACGATTTTATCAAACATTTTGAAGACAGACAAAGTTGATAGAGTAATGAGGGCGACTCAGCATTATGATTTTCCTGAAATTGAAGAGTTGTCTGTTGGAGTATTGGATAATTTTGAACCTTGCACAGAAGAAGAGGTTCACAAAATAATAACGCAATCACCGTCAACGACATGCTCAGGTGATCCTGTCCCAACATACATTCTCAAGCAGTTTCTGGATGTTCTTCTACCCTTCATAACTGTCATGGTCAATGCATCTTTGAGAGACGAAATTTTACCAAAGATAGCCAAGCATGCAATTGTCACGCCGCTGTTGAAAAAACCCCAGTCAGATGTGTCTGATCTGGGCAATTATAGACCAGTTTCAAAATTAACTTTCTTGTCTAAGTTAATCGAAAGAGTGGTAGTACGACGGCTGGTGCAGCATTTAGACAAACAGAACCTGATGCCGTATGCACAATCTGCCTACAGAAGACATCATTTCACTGAAACAGCACTAACTCGTCTGTTGGTAGATGCGTACGAAGCTGTTGACAAGAAAAGGGTTTCTCTCTTGGCACTTTTGGATATGAGTGCAGCTTTCGACTGTGTCAATCATGACGTGCTGCATTTGGTTTTGAAAAATCAATTTGGTTTGAAAGGCAAGGTACTTGGTTGGTTGTCATCATTTGTTTGCGAGAGAACGTATGAAGTGGTCTACGGGGTACAAGCATCAACAGTCATGGAAATAAAGAACGGAGTTCCTCAGGGCTCAGTGTTAGGCCCACTCCTTTTTCTCTTGTACACTTCAGGAGTAGCGAAATTGTTGAAACATAATGATCTGCACGTGTACGCATATGCAGATGACATACAGATCATCAGCAGCGCTGGGGTGGGGTCGGTGGGGGAAATGGTTGAACTTGTCTCAGAGAAAATAATGTGCCTAAAGAATTGGTTGGGTTCGTACAGACTAAAATTAAATGAGGAAAAAACACAGGTAATGTTGATTGGAACTAAACAACAGCTCTCGAAAACTGATGTAAAGAGCATAAGATTTGGGTCTGTGATGGTGCCGTTCACTGGTGTGGTGAAAAATTTGGGTTTCTGGTTGGACAGTACACTGAATATACATCAGCATGTGAATAACCTCGTTAGGGACTGTTCATTTCAGCTTCGACAGCTTGGCCGCATAAGAGCCTCTCTTGATCTGGATACAACAAAATCTCTGATCCATGCGTTTGTGGTCAGTCGGGTTGATTATTGCAACAGTTTGCTGAGCGGATGTCCGAAGTCAACAATATATGGGATAAAATCAATACAAAACAGGGCAGCAAAGCTTATAGTACAAGGAAAAAAATATGACCATGTGACCCCAATTTTTCGTGAATTACATTGGCTGCCAATTGAAAGCAGAATCGTTTTCAAAGTTTTGGTGATGATGAAACGATGTATGCAAGGTTCGGCTCCAAAATATCTAATGGATCTGTGCAAAAAAACACCAATAACAGTGGCGGGTAGATTCTTAAGATCTTCCAAAAACAATGATTTTCAAAAACCGTTGGTAAACTCATCAATGGCGTCAAGAAGTTTTGCAGTGTATGGCCCAAGGATGTGGAATGATTTGCCAACAGAGCTGAAAACAAATGAGATTGATGAAGTGATTTTTAGAAAAAGAATCAAAGCGCACTTGTGGGATAAAGCGTTTGTGAGAACTTGAACGGGCGCTATATAAACTCCACATATATATAACAGAATATTCAATTGAATATATGTATGAAATAATAATCAAAAATTTGTATGTGCTGATAACACATACAAATTCATTGATAACATCATTTATCACCGCCATTCAAATTTCAAAAATTTAATTAAATAAAACAAAATATAGTTAATATTAGTATATAATATAATTATATAATATAATATAATTATAATTAATATAAAATGCAAGCAAACTTTTTAACGGCAGGACATAACGGCATTTACTGTTGTAGCACCTGATAAAGTTATCTCTGGACTCGCCGGGAACCTCCATCACAGTCCCACAACATTTGCAGAAATTCATCAAAGATGAAGAATTATCTTATGTGTACGAAGACCAAATTAACTAGGTAAACCCGTTAACTGAACGATAATATAATGACTTTATTTATTTATTTTTTAATTTAAAACATAAACAACTAAGTGGTAACTCCTAAAAGGCAAAGTTGTGGAAACGCGAAATCGGCAAAGGACAAAACCTAAAACGGAGTAGTTGAAATTTTAATAATGACTAATGAAAAATGAATCACCAATAAGAAAATTGTAAATAAGAAAAGAAATTGAATCGAATTCTTAACTATCGAGACAAAAGGTGTTATCCCTGAACTGCTGTATGTAGTTCAGTGAGTGTTATTTTCAAAAAATCCAACAACCAACACATCGAACATCGGGTTTTAAAAGAGACGAATCATTTACACAATACAAGCACATATTAAATATTATACCTAAATAATAGAAAGCATATTCAACATGAAAACATTATCGTACACAAAACGATCTAATCAATCATGTTCACAATGTTTACCATGGAATTTTAAACTGAGCAGCAAGTGAAAATGCTTTTCTTTTCTTACAGTCTCACACTTGTAAACGCAACTTATCATTTTTTATGTTGTTTTAATGAATTATAATCAATTAATTTTTATAAGTTTGTAAGCTCGTATTTTTAATTTTCAAATTAACTTGAATAATTAAACAAGTTATTTAAAAACGATGTAGAAAAAATGAATAAATTTAAATTACGTTAATATTGCGTACAGATCAAACCGAAATTGAATTGAAATTCGGGTGTGAGAATATATAACACTTACACTGGTCAAATTTGTTTAATTTTCTCCTCCTCGTCTACAATCTCATAGTCCACACCATACATAATTAACTACATTTTTGCATTTAATCATTTTTCTTGAGTAAAATTATGAAAACAAATCAACATGCATTTAAACAAGTATAGGATAAGATGTGACGCGATTTCAGCCTTCAGATATGATTCGAGCAAGCAATAGTTTAACTTACAATGAAATGTTAGAGATGGAAATCAATATTTAGCTGTAGTTTGATTTACGCTATAAATTATCAAACAAAATATTTCATGTCATAGTCAAATGCCACAAAACCTTGATTTAAAAATAAATTCAAAACTTATAGCATTAGCAAGGACTTTTGAAATATCTTAAGCAGATGTGTTCGATCACGATTTTCGGCACCGCATTGATAAGATTATAATTAGCTTCAATTTCACCAACATGTTTCATGTTCTGATTCAGTATACTTCAATAGTAAATGTACAATTCCTTCGCTATTACACGCCCACATTTAACTTGCAACTTATAAGTAATGCCGTTTGAACTGAATTGTGTTGAAATTTATTTCTAAATTGAAAAATATCTTTAACAACATAAATTAATATTAAATAAATTTGTTAATTTTCAATAATACTTTTTATTGAAAGTTTGCCCTATCATAATTGAGAGCTTGTTTCGCATCAACGAATATCAACAATTAATTTACTTATTCGTTGTTGTTGAAACACGCACTTCAATTAATTAAGTTCCAACGATATAATTGAAACATGAATTTCATTTTTTTTGTATACAATTTTAAAAGTCTGTATTATATTGGATTGGTACGACGTTTTCATATTTCGCTGATTTGCCACTCAGAAGCAATGGATTGATCGATATAAACAACTGTGCGCTTGAAGGGAACTAAATAACGTAAGAAAAATTATTGAAAAATTTTGTTTTAATTATTTGTTTCACACATTATAAGTAACACGAAAAAATAACAAGTTGCCAAAAATTTGCAGCAAGAGTATATGAATAAAATATACATGTGATGTATATAATGTATAAAAGAAAGTTAAATCCTTCAACTAATGGTAGGGTTAACCTAGCAGCCCGTGTACGTTCATTAAATGGAGTCAATTATAATAATGCCAAAATTTATATGGTTTATTTGGAATTTCTTCAGGAGAAAATGATAATTCTCAAAAAATCAACAATCGAATCGGGTTCGCTTATAGAAACGATATTGAATGATGAACTGAATTATCATCTCTAGAAAAGCTTATAGATAACATAAACCAATAGTACTGCAGTTTTTAGTTTTTTTTTGGTGTCACATGAGTCTTAACGATCTGTGACCGATAACACTGACAGGCCTCCCCCTGCACTAGACCGAACCGATACCAAACATTACTTAGCGAATTCAGACCAGATGTTGAAAATGTTTGTCAACAGAACGCTAAACAGCCTCTCAAAAATGTAATAAAATTCCAAATTGAATAAAATACTGAATATCTAATCTCCAACATAGGTTCTTTGTTGAAAAATCATTTGTAATATAATTACTGACCAAAAGTCCTTACATTAGTGTTTCAATAATCCATTATTTGTATAGTGTATTATTCTAGGTTATTGTAATCAAGCGCATCGTAAAGAAAACTCCGCCAACTATTTTTCTAATGTTCCGTTTAACGGTAAATTTAAACTTCAAAACCTCATATTTCACTTGAAAATATTTTGAGACAACTATGATTAATTTCTTAGAAATAAACTATAAAATAGTGTTCTCTGTAGTAGTTTTGATGTAACTTGAAATTTAATTTTGAGTCTTATTGAGATAACAGTTGAGATTGAGAATGACTTGCGGTGATATCATAAATTACAAAACAAATCAACGGACTCCGCGATAGTTAGCTACATACAGAATAAAAGTGATTTTCAACGTGCTCACAAGTAAACAGTCAAAAATTGTGTTGTTCTCCGATGTTCTATAAACAACTTAACGCGCACGTCGCAGCTGCCGTACCCACGCATTTACGAGATCTAAAAAAGCCTTAACGTGAGTCCACAATAGTGAACCTTCAAAAAATTTTTTAAATGTTTCCAGGAATTCAGTAAAAACATTAACACGATCCACTCCAGATATGTTTAAGGGCTGAAAATGCCAACTCAGTCCTTCCCGCAAAATGGAAACCGACTGCCACTGCAAAAAACGTATTAAGGTGCGTGGCATTGCTGATTCAAAGACTGGGTTCGGTGTACAGTTCGGCTCGCCTACCACATGCAAGTATTTGAAGCGTTGATTCACGGTAAAGGTTACTCTCTCTTTTGCGCTTGCTTCAGAGGTTTCAACGACAAACATATACAGCGTATATAAATACGCGTAAAATCCACGCATCATACACATTGCATATGACAGGCGGGGATCTATTTGCATTCGAACCCAGTCACTGCAGCAGCAAGACCGGGCGCCTTTAACCATTGAGCCATCACGTGTTTGTTTTGTTGTAATAATAACGCGATTCAGTCGCTTGCCATGGCGCTATATAAAATGACATTATGACGTTAACATGTAAAAATTAATGAACGCAATCTTCCAGCCTTTTCTTCTGTATAAACAGCAAGTGAAATCATTCAATTAGTCACCCTACACAATCTACGTTATAGTGTATACATAGTAGGTATCTGTATCCCTTTTCACGTAATTAATGTTTACATCTTAACGAAAATTTTTTTATATTTTATCACAAACGCAATTTTTGCTTTATTGGTATTGTTACATTGGACTATATTTTCTTTCACAATTATCAATAACTGCAAGCATATGGGCACTGTCAATTTCAATGATCCAAATATTCACGTTGTTTCTTTATCTTTAAAAAAAAATAATTTAATAAAATCTATCTATTTAACTTTACAATTAAAATAAATAAAATGTTGGAAAATATTTAATGTCTAATTAAATAAAATTTTTGTAAACCCTTGCCGTCATCCACTCGAACGTTATTTTATATCACACGTTATAATATGCTGTACGCTGATCTGTAGAGGAACTTTATTATTAGAACACATCCGTTGCATCTTCTCTTTATGCCTTACACTGTCCATCAGAATTATATTATGACATACATCATTTACCCATTACCCAGCTTTCCTTAAAATATTAGTAGATTATGGATGTGTTATCACACATGCATTTTAACAAATTTACTTTTTAAAGCACGTTACAGTTTTTAAAACTGTAAAAATAAATTTTAAAAAATAAATTCCTAATCTACAAATCTGGAATCTGTGTTCTAACTGTAAAGCTCCTCTACAGATCAATGGACATTTATTATGATTGCTTTCATGATAGCATGGAAGAATTGCAGTTAAAATTTGACAGATGGAAAAGTGTTATTGAAAAGAAAGGGTTAAAAGTTAATATTGGTAAGACGAAGGTAATGGTGAGTGGGGAAGGTGGGGAGCAAGTGATAAGTAAAATAGACCCCTGTGGGGTATGTGACAGGAGAGTGAAGGCTAACTCGGTGTTGTGTATAGGATGTCAGAAATGGGTGCATAAGAGATGTAGTGGTTTGAGGGGGGCACTGAAAAAGGTGGAAGGCACGTTCAAATGTAAAAAATGTGTTCATGGTGTGATTAATAGGACGGACGCAAGGACGGGGTTGAGTGGTGGTATTGAAAGAGTGGAAAGCTTTGTTTACTTAGGGGATAAGCTGAATGCGGATGGAGGATGTTTGAGCGCAGTTACGGCTAGAGTTCGTGTAGGATGGATGAAATTTAGGGAACTGGGTGGGGTATTGTGTGGAAAGAAATGGTCAGTGAAGATGAAAGGGAGGGTATATAAAGCATGTGTGAGAGCAGCGATGGTATATGGCGGTAAAACTTGGGTGTTGAGGAGAGAGGAGGAAAGTGTACTGCAGAGGGCTGAAAGAGCTATGGTGAGGATGATGTGTGGGGTTAAAGTGAAGGATAGGAGGAGTAGTACAGAGCTGATGTCGATGATGGGACTGAATGAGGACATTGTTACATTGATAAGGAGATCGAGATTGCGGTGGTATGGACATGTGTTGAGAAGGGATGAAAGGGTCGGGATTAGGTGAGCGTTGGAGTTCGAGGTTGAAGGAGTAGCAGGAAGGGGTCGTCCGCGATTGGGATGGAGAGAGCAGGTGGAGAAGGACAGGGTGAAAGCGGGGTTGCGTGATACTGAGGCGAGTGACAGATGTGGATGGCGTCGAGGGGTATTTCGGTTTCATCATAGGTAGCCAAACGGCAACCCCTGATCTCGGGGAAAATATCGTCTAAACGTGTGTTGTTGTTGTTTCATGTGCAATATAGTTGCATTTCAAACAGAGTTATGTATCAAATTGCAAAATTTAACAGATAACTGTTAGAATTGAATAATAAAAGGTATTCTGGTAAACTGTTAGAATAAAATAATAAAAAAAAATTTACACTGTTCAGCTTATCTTCAGCCAGAGAAACAGCAAAACTGATTGCATCATTGACATATTTCTCAAACTCATCATCACGCATGATTTCTTGAGTAAGAACATAAATAGTTATTTATAAACAATAATTTATGATTGTACAAGGTAGTAAAGCACCTTGAGATACCTGACGCCGTTCAACTTCAACTGCATCTTTGATGCTACCTGACATCTTAAAATCATCAGGCAACAGAGTTATTCTCACAGAATACCTTCTAAAATGTTTAATTAGATTAATTAAAATAATATTTTCAACAAATTATCATCTCCAAAAAAAATTCAATAACAAACTTAACAATAATGAACAAATATAAAACCGATTGTGGCAGGTATTTGTGCTTGCATCAACTTTTTTTGATCTGAAGAAAACATATCAAATAAAATAATATTAATGATAATTCAATCATGTATTAAAAAAGCTGAACACAAACACATTACAGAAGTGTAAAAATATAAAATAAAAGCAAACTTTATAACAATTGGTGAATAAGGTTTTGGTAAATGAGTTTCCAGCAGCTTTGATCTGCCAAAAAAATTGAGTTCTGACAATGATAAAAAATAAAAATTGACAACAAATATGTGAGTTGGCTGAATGGAAGTGTTAAATTGAATGAAAACAATAATTATGATGACAAATGCCAAATCAAAAGTCAACTGTCAATACTTAAATTAAAATTGATTTAAAAAATCAACAGCAGATATAAAAAAAAACAAACACAGATGCCTGAGAACTGTAGGTGTGCTTTTCATAAAATTTTTTTCTAATTGGAGTTGATGACATTTGGTTAAAATTTCTGAAAAAATCTCTTTTCAGAGGATTTTTTATAAAATTGAAATTATCAGAAAGATTGAGCTCACTCATCAAAGCATCCATTTTTGTTTTATTTCTTTTTCTTTTATTTCCTTCACTTACTTTTTTTTATTAACCCTTATATATTAAATTATTAATTAATTACATTACTTTTACAGTTTTACACTTTTATGAACTTTTATACTCGTGGAGTAATTCTGGAGAAATTCAAAATTTGCAACAGACGCAACAACTAACAATTAAGGAAAAACATTGAGAGACTTCTATTTCATCTCGAAATTAAGTAAACTTTTAAAAACGCGGGCCGCAATCAGAAAACAGTAAATTTGAAAAACGGAAAATGACAACGACGCAGTTTAAATTTTAAACAGCAACACAAGTAGGTCGCGTTTTAGTATTTAATATATGAAGAGTTTTTAAATAATATTAAAAAATATATTATTAATAAATAAAATAATTTTTAGTTTTCAAAATGGTTTATTACGATTCATTATGTATTTTTATGCTTTTTAATTTAATGTTACTAATTTTGAGTAATTTTAAGGCACGGTAGTTTCAATTTTACAAAAGCGATCTCTACTGATTTAAGCGTTTTGGCCAGTCCTTTATTCTGGTATCAGTTACGGACGGGCATGATTTTATTTATAATTATATGTATGACATCTATCAAGACAACTTTGACAGGAGGGGGCGAAATTTCAAAAATGTTTAAATTTTTACATTTTTCAGGGGACCAAGATTTGTCGTAGTGTGGCCGAAATTACAACATTATTGCTTATCACGTCAATTTTTGGTCGATTTTCTGCACGAAGCGGTGCTTTTTCTGTGCAAAAACTGAGTTTTATTGATTTACTAACTTCTATTAAAAATACTGCTCACAACCGCCGGCCACCCTTAAATCCGCCATTGAAAAACCCTCTATTTCATTATTAGCGATGGAGGATCTAGGGGCGGGAGATATGGCCTTCCCGTTGTTAGCAGTCAGTATTGTCATTAAAAGTCAGTAAAACTCTTTTTTTAACAGGTTTATCCATGAAAGTTCAAAAAAATTCATGAAAGTAATAATAAAAAAAACAATGCTTTCAACTAGGCTAAAACACCAGTTCAAATTGATTAACTAAAATAGTTGCTTAGAGAGTAGTACATTCAAGAAATTGAGAAAATGAACAATAGCTGACTTAACAAAATGAATATTAAACGTTTTTTAGTAAACATGGAAAACAAATACACACAAAATATCAATAACAAGTTAAAACGTTTTAGTATACAATATTCATCCATTTTTTTCATTATTGTTGAATGACCAGTTCCTGATCCGAACACCTTTAGGCCACGAACTATTTTGAGTAATCAAATTCACATATTTAGCATCGATACATAATCTAAAAGAGGTGAAAGGCAGGGCGTACACAGAAAAACACCATTTTATGTAAAAAAATCAACCAAAAATTGACTGGATAAGCCAAAATAATAAAAAAAGGTTGCTAACCTAATTTGGCCACACTACCAACAATTTTGTTACATTCTTTGCCTTCCGTCAAAATTTCAAAATTTAAACGTTTTTCAAAATTTTGGCCTCCGTCACAGTTGTCTAGATCCACAATTGATTATAAACAAGAGCAACGTTTGTGTCACACCATGGAGGATATATCGACTGGTACATGAAAATTGGAAGTTAACTAACGCCGAACATGCTGTGATTTTCATCAATAATTGCATATATATATATATATATATATATATATATATATATATATATATATATATATTTATTTTTGAAGGATGACCAAAAAAGATAAACTTGTGGATAGGCCACCCTTAACTAAAAATTCTAACCATAGATGTAACAGAAATGTCATGAAATACATACACATAAACTCACGCTCACACACACTTACAAACACGCACCATACCACAATTCATATCAAAATACTGTTATACAGAACAGAAGACAGAAGAAACAGAATCAAGGAAATGAAATGATCTGAATACCAAACATATGCTCACTTACACACTCAAATAAATAGACACATAAACAAATATGGCCACACCCCATACACATATAGGGCGTGGCCATATGTCTCAGGGCACAGCCGAGTGCATGGACATCTCACACATAGATATGTGTCCCTCCTTATACACCCCCGCTGTACCCTGGTTAACGCTCCTAGAATACA